GGAGAAGGAAATTAATTGAAAAACACACAAGCTGAGATAACCGGCATAGATTAGATGCACTTTCAGCCGAAGTACTAACAGATGCTGATAGAATGACCAAAATTTAAGTAGCTTGAAAAAAATTATGAAGATTCTGGCTCCAGTTAAACTGAGCTGCGACCACACTTTCGTTAACAACGCAAAGCGTTTTCTTAAAGCGAGTATCTAACTTTTAAAACTTAAAAGAGAAACTTGTGTTACTTACAACTCGAGTCCATTTTAAGAACGAAAGTTTGTGCTCACGTCAATTTTTTGCGTACATACAGCTTTGTATTTTCATAAGAACAACAATTTAACGAAAACAATCCAACCAAATGCTCAGTTTTGAAAATTATGCTTCCACGAATCGAATTTCATAATTTTCAGTGTAAGACACTACAGATGCTTGCAGCAGGTATGGTGGTAATCTAAGTAGTTACTGGCGCGCTTAATAAAAAAAGTTCCGACGAAAAGTAATTGAATTTGTTCGAAAGAACTGGAAGCAACAAATAACAACACGGTTTTCAGATTTATAAATGAAACCTTAAACTTGTTTTTTCCTTCAAAAATATTCTTTATACTTTATATATTACATATTACAAAATTTTACAATGGAACATTTGATTAATCATTTAGTAATTTCGGGTTTGAAATTGCACTTGTGTGTTTCTCGGTTTTATTGAGAGTAAACAAACTATGGTTTTATGCGAAATATGCTTAAGTTTTTCGAAGTAATTGAAATAAATCTATTTAAGAAAACTTCGTTCATTAATTGCATTACATTAAATTTCATTTAATACATTTAAAAAGATAATTTTTACCCCACAGAAAGAATGTGGTGCATTTTTAATGCTTTTTTTTGCAAGAAACCAATTTGACTTTAAGCGCTCTTTTCCACAATTTTAGTGCTTTTTAATGCGGACTATACTTATTACTGTATAACATTTACGACACGTTAGAGAGTTATTGGGCGCTCAATAAGGCAAGCAGTAATAAAGTTAGTGGTATTTTACACTTATATTTACACACATTTAGGACACATACGCCGGCGCAATTGAGTCCAAATTTAAAAAATAAGGGATCCCTTAATAACGATAGTGCTTGGCGCTAATTATGTAGCGATACTGTACAGCTTTATTTCTACAAACTGGCAGTTGACCTTTCGAACGTCCACTTGCAGGTTATTTCATTGTATTCTATTTCCATTCACACGTTTTTTCTTTTTTTGAATATGACCCAAAATAAAAAATACCCGGTTAAGGTTCACTTAAGGATGACCGTACCCTACATCTTGCCATTATAAATGAAAAAAACTGACACTGAAACATTTTGTTCTTAATTGAAGTTTGGCGCAAAAATGTAAAAGTAGACCAAATTAGGTTTTTAGGACCAAATATTGAAAGCAGTGAACTAGACATTCAAATAACTATTATGTCTTTAAAGAAATAAAGCTAATAGGGATTAACATTATTACTGCAAGACAGTATTTATAATTTCCAATAATTCTATTGGAGTTAAGATTCCGTATTTTTCCCCATTTTTGACATATACATTTTTGGGATTAAACCTGATCTCCTGTAGTTTTAAATAGTACAGGAACACTGTGAACGTGCAACGAAATTAAAACAAGTTTAAGTGCAGCTATTAGAGCTGTCAGTCGCTAGTAGAGCAAATTTTCACCCCCGTTAATGCTGTATTTCCACATTAGGGTGTGGCCCCAAAGCAAAATGCATTATTTAATTGCAACTGTGCACATGCACTCATCCAGCCGAGCCACGTGGCCGACGACCCCTCGAAAAATAATATTTACAGGGTGTGATGTGCCGATTAGATTATTCGGATCGAGTTCGTTACCTCTTTGTACGACGAGCCCATGAATTTCACCGAATGTTGCACCCCCGCTTACAGGCGTCTAGAACTCACCCCCTGTTGCCAGGACAACGGTCGATCCCTTTTCCTTTCCCCCTTCGTCTCTTGTATTCTGTACTCGGGTTTGTGCATATTGGATATTCGACTTTTGCTGCGATGTCAAGTTTTCGCGTTTTACGAAAAATCTCCCTCCTCTAGTTTGGTTGTACATGAAACACCCACAAATTTTACAGTTAGTTTCAAGAAGGATTGCGATTAATTTTAACAATTAATTTGTTGTATAGTTTTTTAGGTCTGTTCGATAAATAATTCTTTAGTAATATCTGGTCGATATTTCTGTTATAGTAGACTGGGTGGGAATCGGACATGCTTGATAATTGCAGAAAATTTAACATCCCCTTTACCATAGAAGGGCATTGCTTGATATCATTTGAAGTTTAGCAAGGGATTATTGGTATAGTCACTACTTCACAACCTATTTGAACTACTAAATCGGGTATGGGTCCGTTTTAAATTAAATGTTCAATTCATCTCCCTTAATGCACTTACAAAGATGAATTCGCCATAAAAAGTTCAATTGAACCCTACCCATTAGTTCCCCGATCTTGCTTTAAATATCCTGAATTTTTAATTATCCTGTAAACAATGTAGACAATTTATAGACAAATAAAAAAAATTGTAGTTAAAAGAATGACGAGAAAGCGTGAAGTAAATTATAGTCCAAACAGAACTTGAATGGTTTACTTTGGCCGATTCGAACTGTTGATGAAGAACCGTCTGTCGAATCGTTTCCTTATCAACTGTCTTGATTTGCTTGTGTATCTCGCTTTTCTGCTTAACCTTTCGTCGTAATTATTTTTTGCTTGTTTCTAGTCATGACTCGAACTGGTCGCATAATTGTGTCGAAAATATATTTCTAATAGTCGAAAAATAGACAAGAACAGTCCCTTAAACCCATAAATTGCATCGATAAGAAAGAAAAAGGCACCAGAGAAGCGAGGCTTATTTTCGGCAATTTGCATTTTTCTCGAGAGTGAATGCCTTTTTGTAAAAATATAATGGAAACTGCTAATAGGGATGATAGAGCCATTAACCACCCTCTGTAGGAATGAGTCGGAATTTTCGTAACTTAAACATTACAAGCCCTCGGTCAAAGTAACAAAAAATAGTTATTGAGACAGTTTGGCATAAAATTCGGGAAAGCAAGCAGCACCCCAGCCGAAAGTTCCTAATTAATATGCTTTGATCTAGCAAATACTTGATATTGAAAATTTATACAGAGTGCTTTGGGCCAAAATACTCAGTCACCAGATACGAATTGTTTTATGTTGTGCTGTGAAATCGAGCAGTTTTTAATAAATTGTACAATACCTATATTGCGAAATGTGGAAATTATTGCGGATTGTGAACATTTTCTAGAAATTTTTGGGGTTATTTAGTTTGCCGCAATTGTCGCTAAACTGACACTGGTAGGTTATTTTTTCTTTTTATTGTGTTTCAGATGTTGAAAATCTGAGTTGTATCTGTAAATTTAGCAAATTAATAAAGAAATCTAGTCGCTTTTTTCAAGGCGTAACAAAAAAAAATACTCTTGGCTCATGAGCCACACCGTTACCAACAGAACTAAAGCATTAAAATGTATGTTGATTTTAGTGAAACTGCACCAATTTATTGTGAGAACACCATCCAAGTGGAAAGTCGATATAACTCGCTCACTTTATTGACCAATAAATCGGATAAAAAGTTCCTATTAATGCAGCTGCAGAAATAAACTTTGTTTATGATAGACAGGACGTCAAAAGTTCATTTAGAAACCTAATTAATTTTAAATGTTATAAAAACAGTTGTTGATATTTTAAGCAAATTTTCCCAACACGCATTGCCGCATGATTGAAAGTCATTTTTGCAACAAAAATTAAGTAAATTGAGCTACGAATGGCTTCCGTGCTGCCAATGATTGCTATTAAATAGACGGAAAATGGAAGGTTTTTTCAAAAACGATCTTTAATTTTTGAAATTCTTCCATTATTTTGCTAAAATAAGATTACGTTAAAAGCTTACCGAAAATTGCGTTATTCTCGATGAGGAAAATTTGTCGAAAAATCTCAATAATTATTTTTTTCTACTACTATTCTCAATATGGAAAATGCCAAGTAGTCTTGTATTTTCATACATTTGTATATATTTTTTAAAATGTTCATTATAGTCTAGAACTGTAACGAAATTGAAGTTGATATTTTTGATCCAAATCGTTGAAGCAGTTTTAATATTTTGTTACTTAAGTCCTCCGCTTTTTGTTGACATTAAATTGTTTTTCAGTCAAGTTGAAATTGAAGAAATTAAAAGAAAAGTTACTTTTATTGCAAGAGAAACCTTAGTTATGACCTGCTAAATTTCGTTAGAATGCAATATATTATTTTTCAAATAGTAAAACAACTTATTTTCTGAATTAACTTTTATCGCCTTTTCGGGCCTACTTTTATAGGAACTTTTATACTTTTCTTAAATACTTTTTTTTTAACTTGATGCAGTAGACCATGTTGAAGAACGTGCATCTGCTCCTGAAACGCCCTGTATAGAGAAATATTTCGTTATTTCAACCGTCTTGGTTGTCTTAACCAACTCAATTCACATTTTGTACAACGTATAACATTCGAAAAACAAGGAACAAGTATCTGAACTAGTTAATTATTTAAGCTATCTGAGCCTCAAAGAAGCTACTGGAATATTTACACTCGTCAACTCCAAGCAGCACCATCAGTTATACTATTTTCAGAGCAGACGGTTTACCATTAAACTTTACTCCGAAGTGAGATATCTTCCATATGTCGAACACATTCGAGCAATTATTAACCGGTAGTTATCGGTGTCAAAAGATGAGGATGTTTGCATTACCTGATTGCCCGGATAGTTAACACAGATTACTGCCTTCGTTTTAGTGTTTTTCTAATTAAACTCGATAATAGGGTCGTTGTGGTCGCGCTTTACTACGTTCGATTTACTAATCTTTTACTGCGAAAACGAAATGTTTTATTAAGGAAGGCTTGCATGTATTTTCGTATCAACTACCATAAACTGTCAAGCCATAAAAAATGAATTTTGTTTAATTTCAGAATGTGGACCATAAGATGAAGTTCAGGTCCAAGAAAGGACTTTTACCCTTTGTGGAATTGAATGGTGAAGAAATCGCCGACAGTGCTCTCATTATCAAGGAACTTAGTCAGAAATACAACCAAGACTTAGACGCGGGATTAACTGCGGATCAGCGCAACTTGGCTCATGCCATCATCAGTATGATAGAGAATCATCTTGCTTGGGTCGTCATGTGGTAAGTAAACTTTAAATCACGTATTCTAGCCTTAAATATTAATATATAATTATTGTTCAGGTGGCGTTCCAAATATCCTGATAGCGTACTGAAGGCATATAAAGTCAATCTTCAACGCGCTCTTGGCTCCAGAGTACCAAATGGGATTCTGAACATATTTTTCAAATTTTCCTACGCTAGAAAGGTAAAGGGAACAGTCAATCGTGCTTTAAGTTCTAACTGCATGCAAATTAGTGGTCAAATGTTTTAGTAAACAGGTTTACGGCTACAGAACTACTACTATCCTGTAGAGTAGTTTATTCTTTTCGTGACAACTTGCAGAGGTACTAACGTAGATTTTTCACTACTATTGTGCACTTCTCTACCAAATACTACTCAAAACATCTACTTTTAACATCTGCACTTTAAAACCAATCATTACCATCATTTCTTGAGTTCATTTGACTATAATTTAGTAGTTATTTACACGATTATTTCGAACGTTCTGTTCACCCATTAACGCATGTTCCCTTTCAGTGTTTTGTGTTCTTACCATCGGTTTATCTTAATATTGACAATTTAGTGGTTCCAGGGAACTAAAAAAGCTAAAGCTCATGGCATCGGAGTGCACACTCCCGAGGAAATCATCAAGTTCGGACAAGAAGATCTGAAAGTCTTGTCAGATATGTTGGCTGACAAGCCCTTCTTCTTTGGCGATGAACCCACCACTGTAAGTAATTAGTTCGACTTTTTTATTTGGGTTTCAGCTTGAAATTGAGTTAAGGATCAGTTTATTTTGTTCTCATTGCGGTCAGGCTTGCCTAATAAATTACTTAAAACTCGTAACTAACAAAACTGTAGAGAATCAAGCACTGAAAATAATTTTAAGTTGATTATAATTTGCGTAATTCTAACTCATCTGGTACCTCTTCTTAGCTGGACGTAGTCGTATTCGCACATTTAGCTCAAATCTACTTTGTCGACAAAGAGGTGGAGTGGGAATTGCGCGACTACATGACTGAATCATGTCCCAACCTTGTCGGGCACGTGAACAGGATCAAGGAGCGCTGTTTTGCTGATTGGGATGATATTTGCAGGTACATTTCCGCACTTGATTGTGTTTACTTTAATATTGAAAAATTGTGAAACCGAATCCGGTTTCTAAAAATGACTTTTTGTTTGATCAACATAATACTATTTATAGTACTCTGGACTTGAACTCGCATCTCCCAAAACCCGTCCCTGAGACAAAAGACGATAAGGAAGCCGCGAAGGATGAGAAGGAAAGCGACAAGGAAAAGGAACCAGAAGATAAGGACATTGAGAAAGAGAAGGTAATACATTTATTAGCTAACAAAAAACATGCTAGCAGTCACAAGATTCCAAGTTGGCCGATGATTTTTCAATCATACATTAATTTCAGGAGGAAGCGCAAGAAAAAGATAAGGCAGCGAATAAGGAGTCAGAAGAAAATAAAGAAAAGGAGGCTGCAAAATAAACAGATAGTCATGTGTTTGGCCGTTAAAACGGCGAGTAAATTTCATTTAACACCCATACTCTTCACTTCTCATCATCTCTATATTATTAGTGTATAATTTTTTCCGTTTTATAATTGCCTGGTTCATGTGCAACATTTAGTTTGTAAGTGTATGAATCTATTTTTTTATATTCAAGACAACTTGATGCAAGCGAATATTTAAGCGATTTTTTCTATCCAACAATTCATTCAATCATTGTGTCAATCTAATTTTGACTCGTCTAAGTAATTAAGTTTAGAGTGCCATTCATGTGCAACAGATTCAGATTAATTGACGATGATATTCACATTTTCAATTAATCTGAATCTGTATAATAAATTTAAAATCATTCATTGTATGAACTACATTTTTCTTTTTCCTTTTCTCTCTGGAATTTAATTTCAGCTTTTCAAATATTGAATATAATGGACAATTTTTAATACAAATTTTATATTAATTGCTAGTTACGCATTATAACTATTATTGTTTGTATAAATATTTTAGCTAGGTTTTTAAATATAAACATGTATGTCTGGCGACGGCTTCTTTGAACACGTGGAACCTTACAGTTTCAAGTATGGCAGGTTCTTCTTGATCTAATAAGAATCTTCAACACTTGCATAGTAATATTTTTGAGAAAGCCAACCAAATTAAGGTAGTAATATTCATCGGTGGCAGGTAGCGAAGTTCGTTCAAGCTCAGATGCAGCTTGAAAGTAAATCGAATTTTGTGGTATGTAATAGTTTAAGGAAATAAATGGAAAGAATTTCCCGCATTTTAAACCCCCCAGCCGTCACTGATCAATCCTTTAGTAAAGCGTGTGTTTTCAGGGGCTGACTTATAATAAATTTAACCCTATTCGCAAACGTTACATTTTCAGTTTGAGGTAACTAACGATACTTCAAGCGTTACTTTCTTAAACAATTTCTATGCGAGTTTACATGTTAGTGCAGTCTTTTAATATATGTACGAAATATTAATGTATCGTAGTAAGTAATGATAGGTAGTGCATTTATTCATTGATTATATCCATTCCACGTTTTCTAACATAGCATTTCATAAAATCTACTTTGAGAGCGATGTTGTGTGGGCAGTGTGTAAGTAATAAAAATGTTCTAAACTGCGATGCCATCCACTCGTTTATAATACATTACGATAAGACAAAGTCATTTAGGGTAAACAATTTTTGGTCTTTACTGCTGACTAACATCACGTTGATCAATAAGTAACGAGCTGTAGATTTGATCTAGCCCTCAAGTTTTCTAAATTAAGATAGAAAGTAATGAAAAAGACCAACTGAGCAAAAATAAATTAAAAAGCGCACACCATTTTTCGAAAAAAAATGACAAAAAATTGAATATTTAGCACACTCCCACTGACTGACAACCAAAACATAAGTAGTGTCTCAAATTGACTCAAGCCTTTGTAATCAATGTAGTATTTTGTATTTTTTTAAGGCCACTTAATTCTTAAACTACGCTGTGTGAAATTGTTGGACCATTTCAAAATTAGTTGAAGCTTTGTACGTCTCATATGTATTTAATTTGGTTGGTCATAAAGCAAAAAACGATAATAAACACTTTTATCTGTCATTTTGTATCAGAATGTTAGATAACAGTGACGAAATGGCATTAGAAAAATCGCTAGCTATTAAGCTACAAGATACTGATGCCGATTAAAGCGAACACGATATCTGGCAAATCAAATTAAACAACTGCAAAGTAAATGATGAATAATTCAAATTACTAACATTAAGTATTTTTTACAATTAGCCTTAGTTAAAAATAGGTTCGACTTTCAAAACTGTGTTGTATGCTGTACGCTATATTTTAAATAAATAAGTTCATATTTTAAGTTTTAAACTGGGTTTTATTGTCACTTGTGTCTTCCAAAGTAATACCGACTTTTCAAAGATCCTTTTAAATCAGATGAATTTTGCATATCACTGGTTTTAAAGATTTTTTGCCTGGTACAAAATAATAATTTATCTTTATTTTTCTATAAATATGTTGAGTATATTTTAATCAGAGAAAATAAATTGGTCAAACTTGCAATTTTGCATAAACTTACGGAAATTCATGGAACAATCGCGAATATACAGAGTATTGCCTAAAGAATCTAATTTTAGATTCCATGATGAGATGATTGGTCAGTTTTAGTGGTTCATAGAAATATGTTTTATTATTTCATTCTGCTGAGATGATTTTGAAATATGTAAATTTTTCAGCGATTCGTGCTACGAAACAATTAAGAATTGGGAAAATAAGTGCGAACATCAATAAAAGACACGTTAGTCGTTTTAGGCCAAATTGCAACGTGTTACGCCCGCTAACCTTCCAATAAAATTGCAAATTCTAAAGTAAAAAGTTTGAATTCAATTAATCGTCAATCGAACAATAGCCAATAAACAAAGAAAAAAGGATTTTTACTACGCACAATTGCATCAAGAATTGAACAGCAGGAGATAAAAATTTTATAGAATATTTTTTGTTGAGACATTTTTTGGGATAGCGTGATACATAAAATTTTCTTGTTTTTGAAAAAGGCCTTTTACGCGACATTTTACGACAAAGTTTCCTAGATTGGTTATTTTTTCAAGACCTGGGCAACTCAGTGAATTTAGGMGTTGGYGCAGTGCTACGCAGATGGCTTGGTGCGCCAACCCAACACACCGGCGCAGTAACTCGAAACACACAGTTTCGTTGCTGGGATAATGTTGATGACTTTTCACTTGATTTTTAGATTTATTTCACGGGCTATTTAGCAAAAATATTATTAACAGCTCTTCAAAATTTCAGAATTTCCAGTTTTAGCAAACTACTTACTCTTTTTTCTAAAGATTCGAAAGAATTTTGCGAAAAATTATGAAATACATTTTATTAGAA